AAGGCTCTGAGGTGACCTTATTGGGGCGTTCCGGGATCTTAAGGGGGCTACAAGAAAGCTGGGGAGGGACTTTTTAGGCTATAGGGTAGTGACAGAACATGGGGGAATGGGGCAAAGCTGGCAGTGGGTAGATCCAGACTGGCCGTGAGGAAGAAGTTCTTCCCCATGAGAGTGGTGAGACCCTGGGATGGGTTGCCCAGGGAGGTGGTTGAGGCCCCATCCCTGGGGGTCTTTAAGGCCAGGCTGGAGGAGGCTCTGGGCAGCCTGATCTAGTGGGAGGTGTCCCTGCTCATGGCAGAGGGGTTGGAACTGGGTGACCCTTGTGGTGCCTTCAAGCCCTGACAGATTCTGATTCTGTTTTAGCAGAGGACTTAGTAGTGTTGGCTTGATGGTTGGACTTGATGATCTTAAAGGTCTCTTCCAACCTAAAGGATTCTGTGATTCTAATAGTTCTTTTTGACAACTTTTTGTCATATAATATTTATGATAAGAGAATCATCACAAGATGATTACTTCACTAATACTGGACATATAAACAAATAATTCTTAAATTGTAAGCTTCTCTTCCTCACATGCCACTGCCAAAGTAGCACAAATATTTCCACTATATTGCTGAAATTTGTTGAATTCAGGGAAGGGTATCTTGAAATGTTCAATCTTCTTTCTCTGCAGGGCAGCTTATGCAGTAATGGAGTTCAAGAAGTCATCAGGAGAGTTGCTTCATTCTCTCCCTCTCTCCTTGGAGTTTGAGCTTTTGAGTGTGGGGGGAAGAGTGGGGAAGGAGAACATTTGAGTGATCCCTAATATTTCTGATAAGGATTACTGGTAAAGCAGAGAGGTGTCTGCCTTTGGTTAGTGCCCCGTTACCCCCAGTGATCTTGTAATTACTACAAAACTCTGTTTTGATTGTCCAACTTGCGTATTTCTTACCTGGTTAGGAATTTCTTGCCGTTCATCTGGCCCGTGATTGCTTTTGTGCAGTACCCGAGTTCTGTAGAGGAAAGGTTGTTACGTGCCTGTGTTTTAACATGGGATAACCCTGGTTGGTGGGATGGGGAATGAGATTTCTAATGCACATTGCTGTTCTGGGCATTCTTGCCATGTAATTTCAAATGGTTTTAACATTTGTTCTTTGTGATAGGAAAAAAGAGGACGATAGCTCAGAGTAGCAATTTAAATTGGTAGTGTGATTTATATTGTCACACTTGTAAATAAGGTAATGAGGAATCTAGTGAGTAGGTAAGTCTGGATAATCTCACGCCATCCAAAATAGTTGCATTTGGTTCAAGGAGTTTAATAATGTACCAGGCAAAACAAAACTTTTGATTTAGAGTGGATTTCCCAAACACAAACTTTGCTGGCTGAGGGATTAAATTCTGTGAGTGTCAGTTAACCATACTGATGTGGGCCATCGGTTGAGGTGCCAAGTAAAACTGCTGGTGTGAAGGAGGCATGCGTTGGGTCATCACCTATGTTTTGGGATGAACAACTCTCATATGTTTAATTTTGTACAGGGAAATGCAGCATTTGGAGCCAGCAACGTGTCTTTGGGGATAAACATTTTTTCATGTTTCACTGAATGTGAATTTTCCCATTTCTTTTCTAAGACAGCTATGTAGATGTGGTGATCTCAGTGTTATCGTGACAATATTTATACTGATTTTTCTGACTAGAGCTGCTGTGTCCTTATCCATAAGGATTGTAGGAATTGTTTTTTTATTTTGTTTTTCAGTGTCTGAAAAAAGAGCTGAAAAGCCTTCTAAATTTTTTTTTTTCCCCAAACAGATCTTTGTGGAATTTGATGGCTGTAACTGGAAGCAGCATGCCTGGGTGAAGGTCCATGCTGAAGAAGTTATAGTGTTGCTGCTGGAAGGGTCGCTGGTTTGGGCCCCTCGAAGCGATCCCGTCACGCTGCAGGGAACCCGAGTCTCCCTGGCACAGTGGCCTGCACTGGTGAGCCTGACCAGGAGCTCGCTCATCCTCAGGGGTTTGCATCAGCTCTGCTGTGAAGCACAAGGCTTGGATAGCATACAGGGCACTGTTTTGCTGTTCCAAAAAGGTGTTTCAGTTCTGCTTTCAGTTTTGATGAAGAACTGAAGAATTTTCTGTAATTCCTTCTCGTAGTATACCGCCCTGGGAAGAATTATTCTCTTAAACAGAATAAAACTCAGGCACTGGGCTTTTCAAGTTGATAAATGACATGTAATTTTTGTGAAATAGTAAAATAGTAGAAATACTATTTTAATTTTAAATAGTATGTGAAAACTGCTATTGCTGCAATGTATGTGCGCTCAGTCCTTTATAACCTTTGGGTTTTGTTGTTCATCCCAGACCTTCACTCCTCTAGTAGACAAGCTGGGTTTGGGCTCTGTGGTCCCAGTGGAGTTTCTTCTGGACAGACATTTACGTTTCCTGTCTGATGCCAGTGGATTACGTTTGTTTCAGGTATTTGAACTGTGTTCAGTTAAAGTGCAAATTTAATTTCCTGCTGTGCTTGCCAGATTTTTTTTTTTTTTTTAATTGTTCCACTTACTTATTCTTGTTTTCCTCCTTTCACTGCCCTGTCATGTATTTGTGTGTGTGTCTCTGCTTTTCCAGGTGCTTACACTCGCCTCCATCTTCACTTGAGAAGTCCTAATTCCTCTCTATATTGGTCAGTTGGAGAGCTAGCTGTCAAGCATTGTGTAGCTGACAATTACATTGGAAGTTTTGCAATGGACTTTGTATAGCTAGTCCTTTTTTGTGGTCCTGGCATGTTCAGCAATGTTTTTCTTAATTTTACTTTTTTTTTTTAATTTGTCAGTCCTGAGAGCAGTCCAAGAAGAGTTGACCCTTAAAAACAAACGATTCTGTTACCTTGAAAGATTATACTTTTATGTTAAAACTGTTTGCTGTTTACAGATGGGAACAGAGAGTCAAAATCAGATTCTACAGGAACAGCCTTCTCTAAGGGAATCTGTCAATGCCTTGATCAGCGACCAGAAGCTTCAGGAGATATTTAGTAGAGGTAAGACTGTTTTTCTGTCTCAGAGCTACTTTGTTGTGAAACAGTTAAGCCTATGCTGGGATTTATGAAGGAGTGTAGTAATAGTGTCTGTCACTGTTTGATTTCAAAGGTCAACTTTCTGTATTGTTTTGCAAGATCTTTAAAAGAAACATTATTTTGTCACAGATCCAGGTAAGCGGTTGGTGAGATGCAACCAAAAATTTCTACTGCGAATGATGTCTGAAGACCTGGGTTGGGCCTGTCCCAAGCAGAATTGCAAACTAGGTACAGAGCTGGTTGAGAGTAGCCCTCAAGAGAAGGACTTGGGGATGTTTATTGATGAGAAGCTCAACATGAGCTGGCAGTGTGCTCATGCAGCCTGGGATGCATCAAGAGGGGTGTGGCCAGCAGATCAAGAGAGGTGATTCTCTCCCCCTTTGCTCCCCTCTTGTGAGACCCCACCTCAAATACTGCATCCAGTTCTGGTGTCCCCACCATAAAAGGGACATAGATCTGTTGCAGTGAGTCCAGAGGAGTGCCACAAAGGTGATCCAGGGGCTGGAGCATCTCTGCTGTGAGGACGGGCTGAGGAGGCTAGGGTTGTTCGGCCTGGAGAAGACTCTAGGGAGACCTTAGCACTGCCTTCCAATACCTGAAGGGAACCTACAGGAAGGCTGGAGAGGGACTTGTCACAAGAGTGTCCTGCGACAGGACAAGGGGCGATGGATTTAAACTGAAGGAGAATAGGTTTAGACTAGATCTTAGGAGGAAGTTCTTCAGTATGAGGGTGGTGAGACTCTGGACTACATTGCCCAGAGAGGTTGTGGATACCCCTTCCTGGAGGTGTTTAAGGCCAGGCTGAATTAGCCCATGGGCAACCTGTTCTAGTTGAGAGACCTTCCTGCCCATGGCAGGGAGGCTGGATGAGATGATCTCTGGGGTCCCTTCCAACCTCAGCCATTCTGTGATTCCATGAAGTTGTAGTTAAAGTAGGATAGCATATTATTGATAACATCCAGTATTTACGACTTTGCTTATTTTAAGTTTTTAATTTTTAATGTTTAGGTGCTGTTCTGTGATTCTGTTCTATAATTCTGGGAATTTAGAAGCAAAGTTGCTCTGTAGTTGTTGATACTTAAAATGTGAATTGTGTAAGTTGAAAATTGGGTGTGGTGGTGGCTGCTCACCACTGAGTTGATACCTGAACCTCTGTCTGGATTGTGTATTAGGGTTAGGCCTGATTGCAGCTTTTGTCAGATTGGGGTCTTCTGTGCTAAATGCTAAAGCAGTTTTCTCTCCAGTGTTTGGGTTCATGGGCCATGGGGCCACAGAGGTAGGCAGAGTTTGGCTAGCAAGGAGCCCCCATCTAGCTTGATTTTGGCAAGGGAGGGTGAGTTTATTTTGGTCTTTCACTTTTTTCTTGTAAGCTGTGTTGCTTTTTTCCTTTAGAGTAGCTGTGAGTGACAGCAGTGGGGTGTTGACTGGTCCCAGCAGCATGCTGGGCTGAGGCAGGACTTGCAGCACAAGCCCTGGTGCTGTAATTCCTTTCTGTCTGAAAGATGACACTTCAGGCCCTAATTATGTGCAGAGTTATTTTTTTGTTGTGTGACCCTTCACTAGTATGACACAAATCTTGCCTGGAGAATGTACTCAAAGTCCTTCTTTTCTAGGTCCTTACAGTGTCCAGGGTCAAAGAGTTAAGGTTTACCAGCCGGAGGATGAAAATAGCTGGCTCTGTGGTGTTGTGGGCCATCAAGACCCAATAACTCGTCTCATGGAGGTGTCAGTGACTGAGGTAAACATATGAAGCACTGCTTTGGTGTTCCTAAAATGCCATTCCTCAATATCCACCAAAACCTAGTACTTGTAGTTCTTTATTGTTTGCTTTAAAAATTAGTAATGATCCATGTTGTGATTGGCAGGTTCAGGTTTTTTTTTTTCCTGGAAATGAGTGCTATATGAAGAAAATGTTGGAAGTGGCTTTCTGTGTGGTGGCTTTCTTGGTGTGCTTGCTGATGTACAAAAAGCCACCTTCTGGATCTGTTATGCTGTGGTCTTCCTACGCCTTCTCTCAGCTTCTGCCTGACAGGCTGTACAAGTGGTTTGAAATAAGTGTAGCATAGAGGATGAAGTCTTAATCCAAACAAAATTGACTGGTGTGTTTTAGCTTAGGCTGTTTACTTTTGCCCTGTTCCTATCAGTAAACCTAGTAAGTGGTATAAACAGCGGAGAAAATCTGTACACAACTAGAGCTGTCTGGTTTGCGTTGTATGCTTCCGTGTGGTCAGATGGGTAGTTCACTCTTACCAGGAGCTTGCTCCCAATGGCTTCCTTTTTCAGAAGCAACTAGGAACAGGTCTGTGGTGCTGTGTGTAAATTACTGTAGCAGCAGCACTCTTCTTGGTTTTTTGGGTCCTGTCCCATGCTTCCTGCCTCTATATCCTTTTCTATGTGCAGTAAAATGTGTGTGCAGAATGAATGCACTGAGTGTGCCTAGTAACTCCTGTGTACACATATAGTAATCCTGCACTCTGACTACGGTATCTGTTGCTCACGCATGAGAGAAAAGTGTACTTTGAAATGGTGGAATCTGTGCTTTCAGCAGAAAGGTGCCATGAAATGCCCAACCTACTGTGTATCTACTGTTAAAGAAAAGGTAAACTCCAAGCACAGTTCAGAGATTGGGTATTCATTACTCCGTTTGGGGAGGTGCTGATGAGGGCAGTTAGCATAAATTGATGTTTCCTTCCAGTAGTCTTTTCCACATCTAGCAGAGTGAATGTTTAGAAAGCTAGAGCAATACTAAATGAAGTCTAAAAAGAGCTGTGTTTAGTGCTCTGTGGAACAAATATACAAGGAAACAGTGGTAGGAATAAAATCTGAACTTGTATGAAATGGAGAAGGAGCAAAAGGTTAGAAGGTAAACTGGAAAACTGTAGTATTTTTGAGGAGGTGACACAGAAAGAAAAGGCAAATGGGAGAGGGGCTGCAGAGTAACCATGTGTTTAAGGTCTCTTATGTCGATACTATGTACTCTAAATTAAAAACTAACTTCCTCTTTTCTTCCTCTTACCTCCTCAATGTCAACCTGCTTAAAAATTAGAGTGGTGAAATAAAGTCGGTGGATCCTCGACTGGTTCATGTGGTGATGGATAACAGTTCTCCAAGCGAGGTACTACAACAGTTCAGGTCTTGTATGTACAGTGTGAAGCTTCATAAAGATTTAGATATAAAACATGTGAAACATGGAAGCAACAGAAAACTGCTGCTGTGTTCATTGGGGGCTTTTGCTACTGGAATTGGAAGAGGAAAATTTTCTTTATTTCATTGAGAGATGGTCATAACTTTATTTCAACAGTCTTCTCTTTTCATTCGGGTCTGTTTTACTAAGCTCAGCATGGACCTTGTGTGGGGAGTGGTGGCAGTAGTCATAATGGTTGTGCTCCATGTTAAGGGGTAGTGTTCTGATAAAGAGTATTTCTCTGCTCACTGCCTTTTTCTATTTGGATCGCTCTAGGCTTCTTTACAGACCATTTTAGGCATCTCTGTAAATTACCTCTCTGCTTTCTGTGGAGTAGGCTTATATGCTTGTGGCATTCGATTGCTTCAGTTGAGAGGTTCCATGGTAACATTCGAACCTCTGCTTTTACCCTAGGCTAAAGGGCAAGGTCTCTCTCCTCTGGTCAAGTGTTCTAGGCTTTGCATAGTGGACAGAAAGTGTGCCCTTCAAAAGAACTGTGGGAATTGGACTTAGAGCAAAAATAAATGTGGAGATAGTTTTCGTAATTAGCAAGAACTGTGTTAGAGCATGGCTGTGTTGCATGGTTCCCAAAATCTGCCATGATGTGGTATGTGGTACAGCAGAGTAGCTCAGCTGAAAATCTTATACCGAAGATCCCACTCTACTACAAAAAAATAGACAAGACTGGACTTATGCTGGTGTTAGATGTCTTGATTTGTGATTAAGTCTTTCTAACCTTAATAGCAGTATTCTGTTCTGACAGAAAAATGTTCTTTTAACAGGTACCCTGATTGTTCTGTTTAGTGATTGCATGATTTTGTCTGTTATAGGGAGGGAGCCTAAAAGCAGCTAAATCATCTAAAGGCAAAAAGAAGAAAGAAAGTCTGGATGGGAAGGATGGACGAAGGAGGAAAAACGCTTTAGATTCTGGGAGTGATCCTGCAACAAAGAAACTAAAGGAGAGGGGTGAGGTGGATAACAATGGTAGTGGCGATGGAGGTGAGGCAAGCAGAGGTCCTTGGAAAGGAGGCTCCAGCAGTGATACAGGACTGGACTCAAGGGCCAAGCAGTTCCCTTCCTTCATTCCTCAGATTAATCGCAATATTCGCTTTGCCACTTACACCAAAGAGAATGGCCGAACACTGGTAGTCCAGGATGAGCCGGTTGGTGGTGATGCACCATTGCCCTTCACTCCATTTTCCTCTGGGGCTGGACAAGCATCACTAGTTGGATCTGCATGTAAAGAAACAGGAAAATCACTGGAACAGGTTGGCCAGGGCACAGTGACTTCTGCGGCTGCAGTTACTACAACTGCCTTGTCGCCAACGACTGTGAGAATCTCTGATACCAGTCTGCCAGCTGTTACTGGACAGGAGAAAGTGAAAACAAGCCGATCACAAGCCCAGGGAGAGGTGAGTAACTCAAGGTGCAGCATATTCAGGACATACATATAGGTGTGCAGCAGATGTTCTGCAGTGTGTTACCGTTACAAAGTGTGTCCATGGAATTGAGAGCTTCTTTTTCTCTGATGAATCCCTCCCTTCCCAAAGGAAACATTTCTGTTACCTGATCTAAGAAAGAACTCAAAAGAAAATGAAGAAATTTGGTGGAGGAGTTGTAAGAGACAACTTTTAGCACTCATCTTTATTCAGCCTTAATCTGAGAAGTGCAGGCTTAAAGTCACTTTAAGCACTGCACTTAATTGTCTTGTGTCATATGGAGGATAACCTACTTACCATCTCTCACCTTTAGGTAAACAAGTATGCATGAGAACGTACACCGAGTTAACATTTAAGTTACTTAAAGGGAAGTATCAAAACCATAAAAACAATGAAGCTACCTTTGGAGGACCTTTTACAGATGCTCAGATTGCCTGTTACAGCGATATCATCTCAGTAGTAGAAAAATGAGCCAGTTGTATCATGTGCTATCTAGGTCTGAAAATAATGAAGTAATTAAAACATTTGAGATGGGTACCTTTAGAAGAAATTTTATTAAGAGTGTAGTCTGGCAGCAGCTTCCATACCCTTCAGTTATGTCTTTGTTTGCAGGGGGAAAAGTGAAAAAGTAGAAAGGAAACCTCTGTTAAAAAACAAAATAAAATACTTTACAAGTAATCAGATGAAGGCTTATAAAAACAAAACAAAAACCTCACCTCAGTAAGTACAGCAAAAATTAAGAAACCTGTAGTCTACTGTATAAAAAAAATAAAAGTGAGGAAAATGGGAGATACATTAGAGGGTCCAGTACAATAGCCAGGAGGTTAAATGGATTACTGTCACCCCTGTCTTTTGTATTAGCTAGTGGAATAGGGGGAAAGGAGAGATTATCTTGGGATATGGATTCCTAGATGGTAAGGTGTGAAGGAGAAACAGAATTGTAGGAGACAGGAGTGTCAGATAATTAAATTATAACCTGAAGTGTCTTCTACTCACCCATGCCCACACACCGCCCAAAAAACATTCAAAACTGGGGGCAACTGCAAATTGTGTAGGTGAATGGTCAAAAGGGTGTCTACTGTCAGTGGTATTACTTCTAACTTCTAGCTTTAACTTTTAACTGTAGTGAGAAATTTTGGTACCACCTCTCTTTACCTCCCTATTCTCAATCCCAAATCACTTGTTTTGGGTCATTATTAATAATCTTGAAAATTTGCAGACAGACCACCAATCCATTTCAAACTGTGTTGTCCTTGAGGGAGGGACCATGATGTGAATCAGTAAGTGCTATAAATAATTCACCTGTGTTACTGCTGCAGATTGTCCACTTTATCATAGTGTGATTTGGCCCTCAAGATTACTTAATAAGCTTGGTTTGCATTTATATTCATATGCTTTTTGAAACTGTTAGACCTCAGTTTGTGAAAATTATTTTGGCTCTAAAAAGAACTACCTGAAATTCCAGTGTCTGGAAGAACTGTCATGGGAGACATCGATATGTTACTGAAGTTATTACATCTGGAGGCTGATAATGAGGAGCAAACTGAACATTAGTTCACAGTGTGGTAGGCGTGCAGATGTGTTGCACAGAGGCTGTGGTTGTACTTTACATGGCCTTGGGATAAAAGTGTGTTAATCATAAGAATTCCTCATGAGAAGATTTCTAAGTGGAAACTTAAAAGGAATACAACTGGTGAGCTAGTTGCAGAATATAATGTGTTACAGAAGGACTGTGAGAATGGGAAAGTTTGAATGAGTATAAACTGAAAAGAGAGCAAGTGAATATTCCTTATCACAGTCATGGGTCTAGAAGAAATGTGCAAGTTGGAAAAACCTTCCAGTATTTGAAGATCATAAAAATCATAGACATCTGTCTACCTGTCAGAAGATGTGGCTTGCTGTAACCAGGAACAGTTTGTTCACTAAAAAAGCTAGAAAGCTTTCTAGAGGGCTTTCTTTGTTAATTAACTTTTAAAACTAAGTTAATTATTTCAAGGGTACCGGTTAAGTAGGCGAAGCTTATCAGGATGATCTTGGAGGAGGGTGAAAGATGGGAGATTACTGAAAAGCATTTCCAATTAAAGTTCCCTTCTTGCTGATTTGAAATTAAAAAAAAAAAAAATCAGCAGTTGAAATAATAAATGGATTTTCTGTGAAATAGTTCCCCTTGTGTCTGGCTCGTTCTGCAGCATGGTTATACATCAGGCGTTCGTTTTCCCCGTGTGGCTTTGGTGTGTAATGGACACTGTTAGCATGTTGCTTTCAATGGCTTGTAGGTATGAAAAATGAGACTAGCAGAATCTTTAAAGTGTCTTTGTTGTAAATAATTTTGCTGGAAGTTTCTATTACAGGTGGATAAGTAGAATGCTAATTGTACAATTAGATGAACCAAAGAGTTGCTGAATCAAATGAGAACCCTTTAATACACTAATGCTTTTGAATTTTGTTTCAGAATTCCCGAAATTCACTTTTGGCGTCTGGATTTGGAGTCTCTCTCCCAAGTGCTTCCCAGTCGTTGCTATTTGGGGTTGGAAGGAGTCAGTCGAATGGAGTGGTGGCTCCAGAAAGCAAGTCTTCTGGATTTTCTTTTGGCTGTAGTACTGGACAAGAGGCTCAGAAAGATTCTGATCTGTCCAAGAACTTGTTTTTTCAATGCATGTCCCAAAATCTCCCTTCTAGTAACTACTTCACGGTAATTTCAGAGAGCTTGGCTGAAGATGCCTCCAGTCGGGACTCATTCAAGCAGTGTACAGAGAGTGTGGGTGTTGGGATCTGTAAAGGTAAAATCCTTTCAACGGACACTAAACCAGGAGCCCAGTCTAGCAGTTCTGTGGAGCGGAAGCTGCCTGTGGAATCTATGCCTACCCTTACTCCAGCCTTTTCACGAAATCTGTTGAGTACTCGTCCCCCAGATAGTCACGAAAACCTATTTCTGCAGCCCCCAAAGCTATCAAGAGAGGAACCCTCAAACCCTTTCCTGGCATTTGCTGAGAAAGTGGAACTTAGTCCTTTCAGTGGATTTGCATCTTCATCTCAGACAGGGGTTTCTGCTCCCTCTGCACCTGTGGGTCATAAGGCCGCTTCTGGCTGGCCAGACTCGCTCACCTCTACAGACTCTTCTCTAACTAAGAAGAAAACCTTGTTCATAACAACTGACTCCTCAAAGATGATCGCCAGTACTCCTGGTGCAGCAGTTGCTGCTGGTGTTCAGAGCCCTTCCACAGTAGGGAACGGCCGTTCTGGCTCACCAACTAGCAACCTGATACAGCCTATTGAGATGCCCACACTTTCCTCCAGCCCAACAGAAGAAAAACCAGCTGTTGGGCCTGGGCAGCAGGACAATCCTCTTCTGAAAACTTTTTCTAATGTGTTTGGCAGACATCCGTCTGGCTTTTTCTCTTCACAGGCAGAGTTTCCACAGGAGAACAAAGCCCCTTTCGAAGCTGTGAAAAGGTTCTCTCTAGATGAGCGGAGCTTGACATCCAAACAGGATTCAGACTCCAGTACCAATAGTGACCTGTCAGATTTGAGTGACTCTGAAGACCAGTTGCAGGCCAAGGCTTGTATGAAGGGAATCCCAGACCACCTGATGGCAAAGCTAGGCCCCAATGGAGAGCACAGCGCTGAATTGCTGCTGGGTAAAGGAAAAGGGAAGCAAGCCCCAAAGGGCCGGCCTCGCACAGCTCCCCTAAAAGGTGATAACTTGAATGTAGGGTGTCTTGAAAGCACAAGGAGGTGGGATACTGGGATATCTCAGTGTGGTGAACTATGTGATCTACCCACAGGTATAAACCACATTTATCCTTAGTAGGCAGAACACAGAGTATTTACAAGGCTAAAGCTTAATGCTTCTTGTATTTGAATCAACATGTTCGTTTCAAGAAATATTTAAGCGTGTATTTGTCAGGACAAAAGTGTGGCATGCTGCAGACTTGAGCAATCTTACTGGTTTTGCATGAGTATAAGCATACAGATCTCTGGAAATACGTGTGTTGGGGCCCAGTTACCTTTTCCTGTTGCAGTTAACTAATGGATTCTTACTTCTACTTTGCCTCACCCAGTTGGCCAGTCTGTGCTGAAAGATATGAGTAAGGTGAGGAAGCTGAAGCAGTCAGGTGAGCCTTTTCTCCAGGATGGCTCTTGCATCAATGTAGCTCCACACCTGCACAAGTGCCGGGAGTGCCGTCTGGAGCGGTACCGCAAATTTAAGGAGCAAGAGCAGGACGACTCGACTGTGGCCTGTCGCTTCTTCCACTTCCGCAGGTACTCAAATTCTTCCTTCATTTGTAGTCTTACGTGCAGAGCTTGGGCCACGTCCAAGCACAAAGTTATTATACTTTACTTGTGTAATGTGCTTGTGTACAATAATGAAGATTTTGAGTGTCTTGCATTTCCCTGTATCAGCTGGCTGGGACTCCCTCACTGGGGCAGGAAGAGCTGCTGTTGGAAGATACAGCTCTGTGATGCTGTGTGAGCCTCCAGGTCCAGCCTCACAAGACTTTGATTATTTTTTTTTTTGGGTAGAATTTTACTGTTGGATAGCGGTTCGTGTGCAGTAACTGTTCATAAGGAGCTCAAAGCAGAGAGAAAATTTTAATTTGATTAACAAGTAACTAAACATTTGACTGGGTTTTGTTGAGTACAGGACTGATTTTTAGCACTAGAACAGTGCCTGTGCTGTCTCTGTGTTGCGTAGATGTCTTGCTGTTCTTTGACCTGTCGTGCTTCTCTTCGTTTTCCTTAACTGCCTATTCTAACAAGTGCTATGCATCTTTTTCCACAAAGACACTTGTTCACTTTCTGGCATATAAAGTATGAAGTGAATTTTTAGTACATGCCACCCACCCAGTAGGAATTATAGCTGCATTTCTTACTGAACTTGTTAAAAATTAATCTAGCTTTGAGGTTAAAGTTAAGATTGTTTCTGCCTTAAAATGAAGTTACTTTTAGTATTGGCAGGAGATGTTCAGGGTTCTGTAACAATGTTGTTTCATCTTTTAGCACACAAAAACTAGGAGAGTAAACAGCTGCTGATAAAACAGTTGTGACTTGTCTCTGGAGAGCAGTGGCAAGAATAGCAAATACAATCAGGATTTTTGTATGTCTTGTAATGTGAACTGTTAGGACAGTTGCCAAGTGCTAGCAGCACATGCCAGAACTGAAATACTGGTTTCCTGAAACTTGGGAAGTAACTTTGTGCTGAGTTAAAATAGAAAATGAGAATTTTACAAGCAGCATCATGCAGCAGCCCAAATAAATTTATTTTCTTTCTATCAATAGTATGGAGAAATGTGACTAACAAAGCTGTAGCAATTTCCTCTGTGTAATTTCCCACCAATGGGCATTCATTCCAGTGTTTTTTGTGGCCATTGTTTTTGTGTACCTTGTTCTCTGTGTTCTGTGTTATTTGGATTTGCATAATAATTGCACGGGCTGTAGAGTAGAGCACTCTAGCTCAAACCTTTCTTTTTCCCCTTTCTGGGTTTATACTCTGATATAGATGGCATTAGAAGTTAAAGATGCTTGAGGATCTTCTCAATGACTGCATCCTGTTTTCTGCAGGCTGGTATTTACCCGGAAGGGTATTCTACGAGTTGAAGGTTTCTTGAATCCACAACAGAGTGACCCTGATGCTGTGAGCCTATGGATTCCTTCCGCCTCCCCTGCAGAGGGGATTGATCTGGAAACCTCCAAATATATCCTGGCCAATGTTGGCGACCAGTTCTGCCAGCTTGTTATGTCAGAGAAGGAAGCAATGATGATGGTGGAGCCACATCGTAAGCTGGGCTTTTGACGTGTTTTTTTTTTAATCCATCTTCTCTGTGTAATGTGTGCGTGGACAATGCAGTAAAATAGAGTTGAAAGTGTAGTATAATTTGTTCTTAAAATGCTTCACCTTTTCCTCCAAAGAGAAGGCTATGTTCGTTTCTCTGGGGTACGTATGATTCTGGGCCTAGCATTTGGTATTTTTCTTTTGGATCAGTGCAACGTTATTACCAAGGAGGCTAATGGTAACTTCCTCAGACATCATCAAATTACTGTTCTACCCATTTGGAGAGGATTTCCCTTTCCTCAGCAAATGTGTTTGTGTAGAATCCAAAGGGTTGACAGGCATCTGACTAATAAAACTAAGTATGCATTCTTTATAGTTTCATAGGTTCACTTTATTTGTTCATAAAGCCAGCAGAATTTGTATAGTTTTGATGTAAGTCCTTTAAGTGCTCCCTGAAGTTCAGTTCCTACAGAAAGCTGTAAGGTGCTCTGTTTCCTTGTAGTATGTGCATTTTGGAACTTGACCTTACCTGCTTTTAGAAATGGGGATTCTAATAGAGTCACAAGACTAGCAACTCAAAGAATGGCTCTGGATGTTTCTGTGCTCTGCCCTCAAGTCATCTTTCTGTAAATTGTTTCTTTATCAGTATTGCTGTGATGCTGTCCAGTGGGAGGGCTGCAGTAATTCCTGGTGTCCCCTCTGTCTGTAGAGAAAGTGGCGTGGAAGCGCGCGGTGCGCGGCGTGCGGGAGATGTGCGACGTGTGCGAGACCACGCTCTTCAACATCCACTGGGTGTGCCGCAAGTGCGGCTTCGGGGTGTGCCTGGACTGCTACCGGCTG